ACTAAGTCTAAAGATTGACCTTATTTGAATAACTCATCGAGATCAAAACTTACAGAGTAAAGCTCATCCGCAGTTTATGAGACAGTATGTGGTAGTACATGTTTAGCATCAGTACTAGAACCATTTTGCTTTTGGACAGGATGAGACCTTTGGGTGATGAGTGGCTTTAAGCTTTTTCACCACAATCCACAGCAGGAAATGTATTTTTTACATCTCTCAACACACACAGTCAATGAAACAATAGATTAACTCTTACTATAATATATATAAAGCATTCTGTTTTATTCTATCCTTTGCTTTTCTGTCGAATATTTTTAAGGCTGTTGTTTTCCAGTAAATTTATTAGACTACCCAATTTCAGGGTGTAGTAGTTTCATAACCTTTATTCTGATCCAACTCCCTCTTCTTAGTAATGTGTAATAGACCAGGGAAAGGAAGTGATTTTTTTGAAGATCTTCCAGTTAATTCATTGCAGTGTTGGAGGAAGAATTAAGGACTCCTGGCTTCCAGTGTTGTGTGTCTTTTAATGACCTAAATTACTATTAGTCTTACATAGCTACACAAAGTATTTCTAGGGACACAGGAAGCAGAGGAATCAGTAGCTGAAGGCAGGAAAATGCTGTGAGGACCTGTGAGGGTCCCTCCGTTGTCCAGTGAGCTGCGCCCACAGTGTGGCTTTCCTAAGGGCGCCTGGTGGATATGGCTTTTGCCTCTCTACCAGCTCTTCTCTCCCTTCACTTAGAAGATGAGCTTGGATACGGCAGCCAGGACCTAATACAGTCCAGCAGGGGTTTTGTCTCTTCCTTTTCCTGGAGCTCACACTGCATGTCAGAAGGCATTCTGCATTCAGAATAGAAAGAATGAATTTGCAGGGTGAAAATTATTTCCTTGCCTGTCAGTTAACTGGCTCAGGTTGTCAGCAGTGAAGATGCTTTAATTTTTGGTGAGTAGGAACTGGGTATAATGCTAGTATGTGCATGCACGCGTGCTACACACACGTTTACTAGAAGGGGTAAAATAAAATTCTGGCTTTCTGTAGGAAATTTGAGAAGGCAGAGGTAGGATAAGTTGAAATTTTCCCTTCTGCTTTACAGTGTTATGAGAAAAAAAGAGTGTACAGAAGATTCTTAAGAGAAAACAAAATATTTAGCTGAATGCTTAAAATAAGGTTGCTACAAATTAAATTTGCCAATGATTTTTTAGCTGTATACATTTTTTATGTTGTATTTTATAAATATACTTACTATGACATGCAATAATGTTAGGTAAAAATAAGAAATGTATAAAAATTTACTACTTTGGCTTTTAAATCAATTTCAAATAGACAAAGTTTACTTTTTCTTGAATTGAAAACTTCTGTCTGATATGATGAAAAAGTTAGTTGGTGACAGTTTCTGCTTCATAACATCAATTTAGAGGGAAAGATTCCGTTTAGAGGGAAAGAACTGATAGAAAGATGTGCAATGAACCAGTGATCAGAACTTGATCTGGCTTGAGTTTGTGTGAGCTGTTGGACTGTATTTCTTAGCATTAAAATATTCTAATATCTTTAATTTATAGCCAGTTAAGACTTAAAAGCTCATTTCTCAGCAACATCATAGAATCAAGGGTCTAAAGAGTCTGTTTTATTTGTAAGAAGAGCATCCTATATTATAGTGTTTATCAGCCAATAACTTTTAAAAATAAAAAACAAAATGCAAACAGACTTGGAATTTTGACTCTTAAATGAATCGGCCTTCAGGAAGTACTTGTCCTAGCTGCATTGTTGGTATAGCGGGGAGCGCAGCAGCCTTCCAGAAAGTACCTGGCCTTCTGTGAACGTTCTCCTTTCTTATAGTCACACAAATGTTTATTTAATAAGAAAACACTACATTTTGTGGTGCAGTGACACTGTAGGGAGAGTATTTTGCAGCTGTGGGGTTTTCTTTTTTCCAGAGCATAGTAGTTGGTAAAATTGTCTGAAGGCCGGATAATCAGAAGCAGGAACTAGCCAGCTGCTCATTCATTTCAGTCGTGTTAAATCATCAGATACGCCCCGTAAGAGAGAGGTGTCAATTGATTAATGGGCCAGAGTATTGATTTTATGTGTCAGACTGCTAATAGAGGAGATTAAGCTTCCAGATAGAAGCAGTTCCATAAGCCTGCCTTTTCAAACCGGCACGTAATTAAAGTAACGGTTCACTGAGGTCAGGCTTCAGCGCTGTGATGCGGGACATTGGATTCGGAATTGAAAAGCCGTGTAGAGCCAGTGTGTGAGTAGCGCTGGGCTTGCAGGCAGCTGGCAGAAGTTCCAGCCTTGGCTCTTCTACTCTCACAGACTCAAATGATGAAGCTTATTTTAAAGAATTTTGAAAAATTTAATGATTTCAACAAGAGGAGATGGATTAAATGTATCATGGAACATCAGGATAATTGAAGTACTATGCTGCCACTCTTACTGCGTGTCAAAGATGATCATATATCATGTGTGCAAAACTCAGTTTGCAGCACAGTAATTACCCTGTAATCCTTTTCTTGTAAAATGTCTCCCCCAACAGAACAAAACGAAACACCACAGCGTGTGTGTTTAGTCTGAAAGTCATAATTTTTTTGCCTAGAAATACAGAATAATTTAAATGTTATATTTTCAGATAACTGAAGATAGCGTGCTGAGATGTAAAGCTGGAACTCTGTGCTTGGTCATTCCTGTGCATTTCATTTACTATTACTGTCTTTATCCTTTGTATTTACTGATAGCACTGAGTATTTATTTTCAGAACTATATTGTATCTTTTTCTATGGGAAGAAATGAATGTTTGGTCCCAGGTGGTTTTCATTTCCTTAGTATGAGGCATATGCACTGACAGCCTTTGAAACTTTAATGCTATGTATTATGCAGGTGCTCTTATTGTTTATAGAAAAACCTAATCCTTGTTTGAAATTTATTAAATGGTGCACCATCTGTAAGCCTCCCAAATTCCATAGATTAATTAGCCTTTAAAGTAAGGTTGCCTTTTATCTAACTTTTAGTATAAACTCTTTATCTGGGAACTTTCTCTTTTATGCTTGTTCAGTGTTGTGTGTACTTCAGCACCTAGTATTAAGTTTAGTTATGGACACTGGCATTCTCGGTAAGCATGAAGATCACGGAGAATAACAGTAGACTGAACAAAGTGGCATTGTCCGGAGAATAGTTTGAAATTTATGAGTAGTCAGTCCTTCATGACTTTGCCACTGCTGTGTGCGTGTGTGCGTGCATGTGTTTGTAGCATTACTGAAAAGTGGGGTAGTTATTGCACAGAGAAATTTTAGAGATGATGGCTGTATAAGTCAGCATTCTTAGGATGTTTCAGTTAAAAAAGAAAACGCACCTTTTTTGGGCATCTCATGGAATGTTGCTTTTCCTGGTGGGCTCTGATTGAAAGGTTGACAGCATTTAGGGCCGAGTGACCGATTGGTTGGCTTTAGTGTGTCTTGTCTCAGGAAATGTAGAACAGGGTGGAAATTGTATTGCTTAAAAGAAAATCATTATTGAATTACTTTGTTTTATTTTACTGGTCCCAGTAAGAGCTTTTGAACACTCCTCAGTAGAATGTTTATCTTTTAAAATCCATTATAAAACACGTAGAAGTCAATAATTCGGTTGTCTGGTACTTAGAGTAAACAATTTAATATTATTTGGTATTTTTTATGGACTTAATTTTGCTATATCACCCTCTCTCCCAAATAAATTAGGTTAATGCTGTAACAAATAGGTTCCATAACTTAGTTTAGAAAACATGACAAAAATAATTTTGCTCAGTAAGTTTTGATTATGGTCGATATTGTGGGTAATAAACCAAAAAGTAATATTTTTTGGTTTTGCCTTTTAAGGTATACAGTCTAGCTGGAGAGAGAGAGTTAACATTCATGGAACAATTGAGACCATTAGAGTGTCCCAAGTGTATCTTCCAAACTAGAAGGGCATAAGAAATTCAGAGAAAATAAAAACCTGAGTGGTTTCCCATCATTAAGATTTTTGGGGAGTCCTTAGAATTAGGTTACTGGAGGAGACAGCATTCCAAATTTTAATAAACATTATGAACAAGGAAGGGGTTAGGCAAGTGGAGATCGTGATGAAGTTGGGTGTGGTTTAAAGGTTACATGGTTAGGGCAGAGGGTGCTGCTTAGTAGAGGGTGGTCACATGATGCAAGGCCTCAAAAACAAAGGTGGGCAGCTAGGATGTGGGCCAAGCTTGTTTTACAATAAAGGAGAAAGAGAGAAATGTTTCGGGGGGGGGGGTGCGGAATTTTTTTCAACATGGTGGACGGGGAGAGACTGAAGGCAGATGAATAGTTAGGAGACCCCTGCAGTAGTGTAGGGGTGGGCCCATGAGAGCCGCCCTAGGAGCACCGCCGTGGGAGTAGAGGGAAGGAAGTGAGGGGGAGGCTCTTGCTGGGAAGGAACTCCGGCGTTAGCATGTCCTCAGTACACAACTAGTGAGTGAACGGGAGGCTGAGAGAGGGAGTGGATACAGAGAATGAAGGAGAAATAAACTAATAGTTACTTCTATAAGACCTGAGAGATACTGACGAGTGATAGCAGGTGGACAGATAAAAAACATCGAAGGAGAGGGAGATGATGAGTTCAATTTGTACGTAGTGAATTTGAAGTGATGGTGGCTCTGCAAGTAGAAGTGGCCTGATGAATAATTGGATATATAGTTCTGGAAAATAGTTCCGGGACTGATACAGATTTAAAGGTGATGTGTACATACACATATACGTAAAGGCACTTTCTGAGAGGGTTTCTAAAGGGAAAATGGGAAGATCTGTAAATAAGCCTTAGCAAACACCAGAAGAAATCATTTTACATTTAGGTTTCATAAGGCCTTATTTAATCATTTGATTTCCGTCTACTTAAAATTTGAGTAATGTTTGGAACAGTTTGATTAAAAATAATCGTAAAAATTAGTATGTTCTGATCTGATGTGATCTGATTCTCAAATCAGAATATTCTGATTCTTTGCGACTTTTTCTAGATTGCTGTGCTAAGGAGACAGCAGCGTATGATAAAAAATCGCGAGTCTGCTTGTCAGTCCCGCAAGAAAAAGAAAGAATACATGCTGGGGCTGGAGGCAAGGTTACGGGCTGCGCTCTCGGAGAATGAGAAGCTCAAGAAGGAGAACGGATCGCTGCAGCGGCAGCTGGATGAAGTCCTCTCGGAGGTGAGCGCCGGGGAGCGGGCTGCCCTCCGGCGGGCAGTTGGCTCTGTAAACTAAAGCGTGTGGAACACTCGTGCTCGGGGCAGGAGGGCGCAGTCAGTCCCCCTACGGGGACGGTCAGGATGAAGCCCCGGGCAGAGGCAGTGGAGTTGGCGCCCCGACGGCTGCGCGTGAGGTTCTCCTGCCCCCCGATTTCGCCCACTCGTTGCTGTAGCAGTCTCCTTCCTGACTAAAGGTCCTAAAGCTCCTAAATAGTCAGGTTTCCCTTTAAATAAAGGAAACGATACAAAAAAATTAATTTTAAACCTTTTTTGGGTCTCCCTGACCACTGATAACGCTTTTTGCGTTTTTTTGCCCTGCTGGTGCCAGTCAGGTCAGTCTCAGTTTTGTTGATGAAATCTGCTGCCCTCAGGCTTTCCCCCTGCAGGGCTGTCCTGCCCGTGCCCACTGAATGGGGCCCCCTCTCCGTTCTTCTGTCTTGCCCCGAGCATATGGGACTATTCCACTGTCTTAAGACATTTACGAGGCGGGGAAAGGAACTACAGAACTATCTCAGAATTATTTGAAAACCCATACGAATGTAAAATTGTTTAATTCTCTCCTTTTTTGTGAAGGGGCAGCTGCAGCAGAGTGGCTGCTGTATTTCTTCTCTCCTCTTCTCTCTGCTAGAATAGGGAGTTTGGGAAGCTCTGCTCTAAGCTTGTGACACTGTTCTTTCCTCACCTTTGAGTTCATATAACTGGTAAAGAACAGGGGTTTTATTTTAGATGTTTCTTTTTGTGGGGTTGATGTGGTTTCACTGTATTTAATATGGTCATTTCCTTTAGAACCAGAGGCTCAAAGTTCCTAGTCCGAAGCGAAGAGCTGTCTGTGTGATGATAGTACTGGCATTTATAATACTGAGCTACGGACCCGTGAGGTAAGTGTATAGATACTTGTTTCGGATACTAATGCTAAAAATTTATATATTCTCATTATTTGTTATTTTTAGTTCTGGTCTAAGCTAGAGAAAAACAGATTGGTTTGGTTCTTCTTAGAGACAGTATCTAAGTAAGAAGAAGGGAAAGGGAGGAGTGGTTTCTCTTCTGGCAGAAAATTCATGCTTCTAATGAAGAGAGCCTTAATTTGTCAAACAGGTCACTTGGGGGGCAGAATAGTGACCTCACGAAGATCATGGGCCTTGAAGTCAGACTGCCGGTTCAAATCCTGGCTCCTCCATTTAGTAACTTTGTTGTCTTAGGCAGGTAACTTAATTTCTCTGTGCTTCACTTCCTTTCCTTTAAAAGGGGCATTAAAACAACATAGCAGTGCCGCCTGCCTCAGTACTGTGATACCCTAGTACGTTCTTACAAAGCTCTCGGGTGGCTTCCTCCCTAGCTAGGAAATGAATGGCTACAGCAGAAATTACCCATTTTTGATTTAGTAGGTTTGGAGTGAGAATCAAGAATCTAAATAATTTTTAAGCACTCCAGCTAATTCTGGTGCTGGTTTTCAGCTAAGCACAGCTTGAGAAAGGCAGCTTTTAGTCTGGAGTCATGGAATACTAGAAATCGAAGGGGTCTGTAGAGATCTACTCTTTTATATCCTACTCACCAAGACATATTCAGCACATGAACGAAGTCAGCACCTTTGATGTTGGGGAGTCAATTAGGGGTGGTGCCTTTGAAGATCCCATGATCCAGCTGGGAGGAGAGACTTGTGAGGTGATGGATGTAAAAACAGCAGTATGAACAAAGTAATAGAAAAATATATGAATTCCTTGAGGAGAAGGTTCATGTCATATTGATAGATGCTCAAAACATTTTTGCTTGAATGATAGAGTGACAAGGGAAATCCTCTTACAGGGAGCTGAATCTTGAAGTATGATAACAGTTTGCCAGGTGTAAAATACAGGAAAAGCATGTCAAACAGAGGGAACAGAAGTGAAAATGCACAATTATGAAAAGGCCCAACATATTCAGAAAAAAGTAAAAAATTCAGCATATCTTGTACGCAGGGGAGTGTACATGAGGGATGTAGGACTAGAGGTTTTAGTGGGACCAGATAATGAAGGGCCTCATATACTGCTATGTGAAGTGAGGTACCCCTCAGTTTTTAGGAAGAGGGCAACATAACCAGTTTTGTATATTAGGAAGATGACTCTGGGGGTGGTTTTGAGACTGGACTGGATTGAGGAGAAACTATGGGTAGAGACAGCATTAGAAGACTTGGTGTATGTAAGGCTGTTGATGAGAGTCTGGCCCCAGCCTGTGCTCATGGGAAGGATGGGCTGTCTCAGTACATCTCTGAGATACACCCTGTGGGATTTGATGAGCAGTAATACAAAGTGGGATGTGAAGAAAAGAAGTTAAAGATAATTCCAAATTTTCTATCTTGAGGGACTGAATGACGATGCTGTCATTTGAAGTAGTAAACAAAAAGGAATAGTTTTATGATGGAAAATAATGGCTTTTGTTAGTAGTATGGGAACTTGGTGATAATGACTGGGTATTGGGAATGACCACGATAGAGAGAAATGGTTTTCTGAAGCCAAGGGTGAAAAGAGGTTCACAGGGGTGTGGGCAGTAGTACCACCTGCTGAGGGCTTGGGAGCAGCAGAAACCTGAGATGAGAGCATTGAGTTTGGCAGTTAGCAGGTCAGTGGCGATCTTGGAAAGAAGACTTACTAGGGATAGGAGTGCAAACTGTATTACACTTAGTTGAGAACTGAAAGGAGTTAATAAATTGAATAATTTCTTTGTTGTTAATAAAACTTTATTATGAAGATTTTTAAACCTATAGAAAATTAATAGAAAATAGCATAATGAACCACCTTTTACCTATCACTTCCTTCTCTCTTTCAACTTAAGTGTTTTATTTCATTTATGATTTCAAGGAGCTTTTCTCATTGACATTCTTGGTATTGTTTTATTCTGCCACTTCTCACCAGGTTACGATTTGTTACAGAATTTTCTTTCACTTGTCAAAGTTGTGCTTTGTGCTATTATTGTTTCTTACGAATATTATCCCAGATCAGATCTTAGCTCGTGTTGTCTAATTCTTTAGTTTTCTCCAGTAGAGTCAAAACAGTGCTCATCCCAAAGCAGATAAATGTCTATATATGTTCCTTTGCTGTTTCTCAAAAACTTTTTTAGTTACTCTTTCTTATCTAAGCTATATGAAGTACTTATTTATTTATTCAGGCAGACATATAGCAGATATTTATAGAGCACTTACTATTTTCTAGGTACAGAGCAGGGAGCGAGTAATGCAAACATGAATAAAAGTACTAGAAGAGAAGTGGAAACAACTATAGTATGAGGAAGAATTACATGATGTCGTATAAAGTTATGGGCATATTCCTGAAGGAACATAGAAGGAGCCGGAAACTCTGTGATGGCAGACACAGTGGCTTTGTGCAGTAGCATTTGAAGAACAAATAAAGAGAGTAGGATTATGCTGCAGGAGGTGGCGGGGGGGGGGGAGGCATCATGCTGTAGAAGCCCTCCTGAATCAATAGATTTGAAAAATAGGACAAGAACAAACATTTACAGATGAATGAATGATCTTCACTGCTGCTGAGGTGCAGGGCAGATATGTGGGGAAGGATCTCATCTCCATGAGGAGATAGATGGATCCATTAGGGAAGGAGGGAGATGAATGTCCCACTTTATCAAGAAAGGTTTGTGTCCAAAAAACTTGATGGATGATGCAAAAAGAGGAATTGAGAATGAAAGTTTAAATGCTTGAAAATCCTGAGGAACAATCAGAGATCTCTATCTATTTCTGTGTGGAAGGCTTTAGGAACAGAAAGCCAAGAAGTGGTGGGAATATTAGGAACTGTTCTAATTAAAAAAAAAAATCTTTCAAGATTGAAGAAAAGTAACAAAGAGCTGGAAGGAATGAAGAAATATTGAAGTATCTTAACAAGTTGGAATATCTCCAGACACCAAGCAGGAAATAGGAAAGAAACTGGCTATGAAACTTGTAAAAATAAGGAACTATTTCTTCTAGAGAAAATATGACAAAAAGTGAAATACTAAAGCTATGAGAGCAACAGTGATTTGAAAGACTGAAACCTGTCCCTGAGCTAAATGTTGGGAATGGAGCTCTTGCCTTATGTGTATTATTCAGAAGCATTTATTGATTGACCCCATCATTTGCAGCCTCTTTACTGCCAGACTAGGGATCTCCTCATGACTGGGAGTCTGCCAGAGAGGCAGCAACTCCTCAACTGAACCTTATTAGTACCACCTGGAAGATTTTTTTTTTTAATTTTATTTTGATATCGTTCATGTACAATTACTTGAACAGCATTATAGTTACTAGACTCCCCCTATTATCAAGTCCCCCCCACATACCCCATTACAGTACACAGCGTAGTAAGATGCTATAGATCACTATTTGTCTTCTCTGTATATGCTGCCTTTCCTGTGTCCCCCACCACCACCCTGCTACATTATGTGTGCTAATCGTAATGCCCGTTTTCCCCCTTATCCCTCCCTTCCCACCCATCCTCCCCAGTCCCCTTTCCCTTTGGTAACTGTTAGTCCATTCTTGGGTTCTGTGAGTCTGCTACTGCTTTGTTCCTTCAGTTTTTTTTTTAATATTATTTTTTATTTTATTTTTTTATTTT